GATGTGGGGTATCACATGGCAGGACAGAATTCCAGACAAAGATGTGCTCTCTCAAGCTCGCATTCCAAGATTGTTTGCACTCCTGTCTCAGTGACATCTACACTAGCTTGGTCACGTCCACAGAATGGAAGATGGCAAGATTCCCATGGAATATCTACAGGAAGCTGGCTTCTGGTACCAGGCCAATTGGCAGACCAATTCTGCATTACAAAGATATCTGCAAATGTGTCCTGAAGGCTGGCAACATCAGCCTTGCCATGTGAGAATCTCTTACAGACAACTGCAGTGCCTGGACACAGGCAGTCAAGTCATGTATCCCTAGCAGTGGCCAGAAGAAAAATAACCGCTGGGAGGAGTGCAGAGAAAAGAGATGACATTGCACATCTGTTATTTTATCCTGATTAAATATTTGGGCAATTTGATGATATTGTAACCATGTGGTGTAGTATTGGTTCGCCTCCTCATACGATCTTAATTTTAATTAACCCTGTTCCTCTTTTAGAAATTGCTGATATGTGGCAAGTCTACCTGCCGTGTTTACTTCTAATGGTGATACCCACTATGGGGTTTTCGGTTCTAACAGCCTATGATGTCTCACCCTGACCTTGTACAGAGATTTCCTATTTATATGTCTTAGAAATTCTTTATGTACCACCACTTTATAGTAAATTAGATAAGCAAGCCAGCCATATCTATTATTCCAGCCCTCTAAGTCTAGAATGTCCTTAATCCAGCTAAAGAATGCGGCGTCATAATATATTCTCAGGTCTGGAAGCCCCCCCCCTCCCCCCACTCCTTCTTGTCTGTTAGTAATTTGTATTTAATCCGCAGCTTTTTACCTTGCCAGATAAATTTTGTCAAATCCAATTTCCAACTACTTTATTTAGATATCTGTTGTTAGCAAATAAGTTTGATACCCAGATTCTAAGAAATGACTGAGATACAGAATTGGACCTTTCATTATTACCTAGACAGTAATGAAAGCCTCAATACCATTTGTATTGATGGATCTTATATGACAACTTATACAACAGTAAATAATATTCAAAATTTATTGGCCTCCACTAAGTTTGTATAAAAAGGACTATCCAATGTAGTCCTCCAATGCTTTGCTGGAGATGTAATAAGCATAATGCCTCTTTGAAACATATGTTCCTGCAGCGCTCTATACAATAGGTTTTGAGAGAAAGTGCTGGGCTATATTCATATTATTACAGTGGTACCTCTGGTTACAAACACTTCAGGTTACAGACGCTTCAGGTTACAGACTCTGCTAACCCAGAAATAGTACCTCAAGTTAAGAACTTTGCTTCAGGATGAGAACAGAAATTGTGCTCTGGCAGCGCGGCGGCAGCAGGAGGCCCCATTAGCTAAAGTGGTACCTCAGGTTAAGAACAGTTTCAGGTTAAGAATGGACCTCCAGAACAAATTAAGTTCTTAACCCGAGGTACCACTGTATTTGGAAAAACTTAAAATTTTCAGAGGAAAATATACTTTTGAACCATATACCTATCGTTTGGAAGTGGACAACGAAAATAGATGCTATGTGCCCTAACAGTGGCTAAGAGACTGGCATTGATGAACTGGAAGAATATATAAAGGTAAAGGGACCCCTGAACATTAGGTCCAGTCGTGACCGACTCTGGGGTTGTGGCGTTCATCTTGCTTTATTGGCCGAGGGAGCCGGAGTACAGCTTCCGGGTCATGTGGCCAGCATGACTAAGCTGCTTCTGGCGAATCAGAGCAGCGCACGGAAACACCGCTGACCTTCCCACCGGAGCAGTACCTATTTATCTACTTGCACTTTGACATGCTTTCGAACTGCTAGGTTGGCAGGAGCAGGGACCGAGCAACGGGAGCTCACCCTGTCACGGGGATTCAAACCGCCGACCTTCTGATCAGCAAGTCCTAGGCTCTGTGGTTTAACCCACAGGAATATATATCATCTCCTTTAATCAGTGTACAGTGGTACCTCAGGTTAAGAACTTAATCTGTTCTTAACCTGAAACTGTTCTTAACCTGAAGCACCACTTTAGCTAATGGGGCCTCCCGCTGCCGCCGCGCCGCCACTGCACAATTTCTGTTCTCATCCTGAAGCAAAGTTATTAACCCGAGGTAATATTTCTGGGTTAGCGGAGTCTGTAACCTGAAGAGTATGTAACCTGAAGCATATGTAACCTGAGGTACCACTGTATTGATGATATGACAACACTTGCAACATATGGATTGCTTATAGATGTAGACTTTGTTTGGATAAATATACTGACATTTGGAATGAGTTTATACAAAATATAGTAGGTTAAATGTATTTTGACAATACAGTTGTACCTTGGATCTCAAACGCCTTGGCTCCCAAACCATTGAAACCCTGAAGTGAGTGTTCCGGTTTTGAACGATTTTCAGAAGCCGAACATCAAGCACAGTTCCAGTGGGTGGCAGGAGCTTCCTGCAGCCAATCAGAAGGCACACTTTGGTTTCCAAACATTTTGGAAGTCGAATGGACTTCTGAAACTGTAATTTATATCTATCTAATAATGTATGGAAATGTAACTAATTATGGTTACCATATTACACTATATCTTTTTTTCTTATTGTATTTTTTGCACTTTTTTCCTCCCTCTTTTTTCTTTCATCACTTACTTTATCTTTTGTAACTGAAATTATTTCAATAAAATATTAATAAAAAGTTCAGGCTGCATTATTAAAGTTCATTGGGCAAGAAACCTGCTTCCTGCATAAATTAGACTTTTTCCGTAAGTGATGTGTATAGGCATTATAAAATATGGGATAACAGTTGTTTGACACAATGTAGTACATAACCTGTATAACATCAGATTGTTCAGTAAGTAGTTGATGTTGTCTAATCTCCCCGCACACAATTCAGGGTGAATCTTCATAAACAGGTTACCTGGAAGCAATATTAGACAGAAATCCTAAAGAACATTTTCTCTGAAAGAAACCTAGGGACTGTACCCTTTACAGAGCTACAACTACCAGCAGCCTCAACACACTACAGTTTCCATCATTTTTCTGTGGGGGAGGGCACAGGGAGAATATGTTTTAAATGTATGGTGTGTACACAGCCCAAGACTGAAAGTGGAGCCCTGATGTGGAAAGGTGTGTTGGCTGGGACTACTTGAGTGACTACATACAGCAGTATGGATCACAGGTGTGTAAAAGGAACTGGGGCGCAGTCTGGAATAATTGCAACTGTAGATCTTCTATTTCAAATTATAAAGACTCTGGTCTGTGGGCTAATCCTTGGTTCCCATCAAGCCCATGCACTGGACTGTATAGCCTAACACAGTGGTGGCGAACCTATGGCACGTGAGCCAGAGGGGGCACTCAGAGCCCTCTCTGTGGGCACGTGTGCTATTGCCCCAGCACAGAGCCGGCAGAAGGCGAGGGCAGCAGATCAGCTCAAATTGGGCAGCTGAGTAGCCTTCCTCCTCCTCCAATGGCACCAATGGAGACGCCAGACAGGACATACGTCATGCGGGAGCCGGCAGGGGAGGATGGCATCGCTGGCGAGCCTCAAGAAACCACTTTGTTCCAGTGCTGGGTAGCCAGGCAGGGCCACCTCCCCCTCTACCCCATCCTCGTCACCCCTTACCCGGCACCGAGGCTCCGGGCCCCACCGGCCTTGCTGCACCATGATCGCCTCCCACTTGCTGGCGTACTTCTTCACTGAGCTCAACCACAGCCAAGGGCAGCGGGTGAATGCGTGCCTGGGGCGTAGGGGCATGTTGGGGTTGGGCAAGAGAGCAGGGTTAGCACATGGGGCAGCCCCCGAGGCCCTTTCAGCACATGCTCAGAAGGCCACACCGAGAACGCTTGCTTGCCACACCGAGAACCTGCTTGCTTGCTTGGGCTGGAGCTTAAAAGCAGGGAATTCCCGTTTCCACGGTGGACGCAGAGATCTTGTGAAAATGAAACCCTTAAAGTGTGGCATTCTCTGCCAAATAATTTTAAGTCAATGAAGCACTTGGGATTGCTTTCCTCACTTTGTTTGGATCATATGCTTGTGAGCAGTTGAAAGCTCTGTTATTGTGTTTTTCTTTTAAGACTAAAGATGTTAATGTATGAGTTGTTTTTTCTAAACTAAAACCTCAGTATTCAGGTTAAATTGCTGGGTTGGCACTTTGCAATAAATAAGTGGGTTTTGGGTTGCAGTTTGGGCACTTGGTCTCTAAAAGGTTCACCATCACTGGCCTAACACAACAAGCAGTTGTGTTATTGGGAAGGGCTGCGGCTCAGTGATGGAGGACATGCTTTGCATGCAAAAGGTCCCAGCCTCAATCCCTGGGGAACCATTGCCAGACAGTGTTGACAATACAGTACTGAGCTTATATGGAGCAATTTTTTGACTTGATATAAGGCAGGTCAGGATCCCGGTCATTATATTGGGGGAAGATCCATATCTCAGTGGTAAAGCACCTGTTTTGCACAGAGAAGTTCTTAGGTTCAGATTCTTGGCATCTCCAGGTATGGCTAGTAAAAGACTCTTGGTTATTGGTTTATGTTTTGTTATGTATTTTGTCTTATTTAGTATTCTTTTTTATGGGAACCACCTTGTGATCTTCGGACGAACAGCGGTATACAAATTCAACAGCAACAAACTGGAGAGCAGCTGACAGTGAAAACAAACACTGCTAGATGGACCCAATGGTCCATTTGTGATCTACATCAGGACCTGCTGCCCCTGTGGATCCAGTTGCCTCACCTTTCTTCATTGGGGGGAGGCCTGCCTGTTCATCAGGGCACCCGCCAAGCTTCCTCCCTGCTCCCCTTTCGCACTCAGTTTCCTGGCTTTTCGACTCCTTCTCTCAGCAGGGCCAACTGCCACCTGTCAACGGACACACCGACCTCGCGCGCTTGCCCCGCCCCTTAAAAAACCCTCTCAAGGAGGCTGCGGCTCCTACGCATTCGGTCCTCATTTGCATTTCCCCACCCGCCGCGAATGCGACTGGCGGCGGAGCGGCCGCGGCCCGAGCTAGGATTGGCGGTTAGGCTTGCCAATCCTCCCGGAGTAAACACCGCCCTCCCGAGTTGGCATCCCTCTGAGCGCCCTCCGGCTTTCTTGTCTCCCTCGCAGCAGCCTACCCCCCCCCCGCCCCAATTCCCTTCTCCGGCTCTCGTCACCCCGCCTTCCCTCCCTCCCTCGCCCGGCCGCGTTTGGCCTTGTCGGCGAAGCGAAGCGGTCTGGCGGCGGCTGTGGTGGGGACTCTCCAAAGCCAGTCGGCTCGGCCCGTTCGCTCTTCCTCCCCGTCTTCTTCAAGGGGGCCCCTGGTGGCCTCGAGGAGAAACCACGGGCGTTCTGGGCCGGTGGGGGCGGCGGCAGGTGGGGGCCACTGCTGCTGCCGCCGCGAGCCCCGCCCCTCCAGCAGGTAAGGCGCACAGACGAGCACCCCCGCTTCACCTCTTTGCCCGCTAGACACGTCGCTGTTTCAGGACTGAAAGCGCCAAAAAACCCCTCCAAGCTCTTATAAGCCGGCACGCCCCCCTCCCACCGCATCTTGACAGGTGAGGATAATTTTACACGCACCCCCATTTCACTCCACCAAAGGTGTGGGGGCCTCTTTCTAGCTCCCTCTTTCTCCGCCGAACCCCCCCCCCCAGCCGCCGCCGCCCCGCCTTCATTACAGCCAAGAGAAAGATTTAAAGCTCCTTTTTCTAGTCTAGTGGACACATTTACATTTCTCAAATGGCACCTACTTCCCGTTTAAGGTGGGGGGTGGGGTGGCGGTGGCGGATGCAAATAGTTTATTGCTCATATAGGCCAAGTCCATACATGCAGAACAGGTGCATACGCTCAGCGCATTTCATGCTCTGTATGTTATAGGAATAAGCTTGTGCACCTGTTTGAAATTGGGTTTATATAGGCCAGGGTATACTTGCAGACAGATGTATACACTCATGCACATGTTTATGTTGTAGGGATAAGCTTTCGTATCTGTGCACAGTTATATCTGTATTAAAAAATACTATGCATTTATAGTATTATATAAAATCTTGTAGTATTTTGCACATGCCTCAAGGAAGCTAGCCATGTTACATATTTTTACGTCATAAAGCAATGTGTGTGTGTGGGGGGTTGTTGGCTGTCTTGAGGGCTATGTGAAAGGCAAGTTAATATGATTTTTAAAATTTATATGCATGTACTTTTTGTATAGAAACGTTATTAGTTCTGAGGGTGAGATTATATACAACCTTGCGCCTTTTGTATAAATGTCACACAATAGCAAAAATTGCATGCATAGAAAATTATTTTATATCCTTGTAAAAATGTATTAAAATTAATAGTATCTGCATGTGTGTGGTACACACACACACACACACACACACACACACACTATTACAGTTGTATGTGTTTACATGTGTGGAATTGCTATACAGGAGTTGTTTGGAAAGGAAAGGGAAATTATAACAGTGACTCTTCCATTGACCTATATTCCCTCTCATGAGAATTATAAGTGCAGCCCTGCTACATCAGAGTGCAGCATCCTACCTCATGTAGTACCTGTTGGTTGCCTCCAGAAGGCCAGCAAGTTGGAATTCAAGGCAGCAGCCCTTGCCCTTTGACTTTCCCTACTAGTGCCCCCTTGCAGCATCTTTATCTCATGGAATACTGCCCCTGACCATGGAGGTTCCATCAAGCCCTACATGTGGTGATTGGCTTTGACTTCTGCCTTCCTCCATCAATCTGTATAATTTCCCTTTTAATACCATGTTGATAATGATAATATAAACCTTTAGTGTGTTCAGGTTCATCAGATGTTTTCTCAAAGTGCATGGTAGGGTGAGGCAGTACACATACAGGCATCCCCCCACTTGCACATGATCGACTTGCACGTGACCATATATACGTGCAGCGCCAAAAGTTTTAATAGTTTAATTCATACTGAAAATGGAGAGAGAGAGCTGGAGAGTCCTTTTGGCTCATGAGGAGACCCTCCCTGGAGCCCAAGGAGGATGTCTAGAGAGGGCCGAAAAGAGACTGGAGGTGCAACAGTGCTTTGTTTAGGCTGCTTAGCCTCCCCCCTAACAGCTGATGCATGTGGTAGTGCAGCAGCAGATGCTTTTCCGCATGTCCTCCAGTCTCCTGCTGACCCCAGAGCTTCAATTCCAGTTGTGGATATTTTTGGTACAGGGTTGTTAGGTTGTTGTTTTTTGGAGTGTAGTATTTTGGAGAGAGAGTGGCTTCATAGTACTGCCTTCTGCTACTGTTTTTTTAAATCCACTGTTTGCTTCCATTTGTCAACTCTTTAAAGATTGTCTAAGGCAAAACCCCCCACTCTGTTTCCTATTTAGTAATAAATAACTGACACTTAGCCAGTGCCTTGACATTTGTCATGGTTCTCCGTGTGCCACATGACCCAGAAAGCTGTCTGTGGACAAACACCGGCTCTCTCGGCCTGAAAGGCAAGACAAGCGCTGCACCCCATAGTCATCTTTGACTGGACTTAACCGTCCAGGGGTCCTTTACCATACCTTACCTAATAGCACCTGAGATGATTAGCTCAAAGCAAGGCTAACCCTGAAATGCTCATTAAGTTGTCATGGCAGTGCCCCCTACTACTTGTGCCATCCTTATATCTTATATGTCTTCCCAATGACAGGGGGGAAACAGACTTTTATCTCACATATAGAGCCCATTACCATCCACCTAACAGAATCATATAAATTCTCCTTTTAGGCTGAGGATTCTCACTAGTTATTTTACTGGAGCCATGGTAATAAATTGTGTTTTATGTCAAGTGGGCATCCAGTATCTCTAGAATATATTATTTGAGGTTGTTGCAACCTCTGTCCTATATAGCCTACTGTTCTGATGCATCCCTTTCAGAGGTGCAGGGGCTCAGTTCTGCCTGCTAGCTGTGTGATTTGAATGTTTGTTCTCTGTAGCTACTCAGCATCATAAGGTAAAGGTAAAGGTAAAGATAAAGGGGACCCCTGACCATTAGGTCCAGTCGTGACCAACTCTGGGGTTGCGGCGCTCATCTCGCTTTACTGGCCAAGGGAGCCGGCATACAGCTTCTGGGTCATGTGGCCAGCATGAGTAAGCTGCTTCTGGCGAACCAGAGCAGCGCACGGAAACACTGTTTACCTTCCCGCCAGAGCGGTACCTATTCATCTACTTGCACTTTGACATACTTTCAAACTGCTAGGTTGGCAGGAGCTGGGGCCGAGCAACGGGAGCTCACCCTGTCGTGGGGATTCGAACTGCCGACCTTCTGATCGGCAAGTCCTAGGCTCTGTGGTTTAACCCACAGCATCATAGAGAAAAGCAAATTGTCATATATTTAATGTAATCACAAACCAGTGTGTGCCGTATCCCATGTGCTGACATGTGAGGGCTTCTTGCTTGCCTTTGTCATTGCCATGTTTCTTTACCCAATATTGCCACCCACCCCACACCAGTACACCTGTCTCTAGCCCCCTCTGTTACATTTTCATTGGTCTATAGAACATGTATATAATTTTGCTGAAGGTAGACTGGCAGAGGAACAATGACTGTGTTTGCTATTGATAAATGTTAATGTGCAACTGGAGCAATTTCATTCTGGAGCAATAAGTACTTTGGGACAAACTGGAGTGACAGTGATGGCTATTTTGCAGCTTTTTGAGCACAAATGTGTTTGTGGAACATGTATGTAAATAAATTAACAGTGACCATTGTGGCTGCAAGCATAAACATAAACTTGTCAGGGCATTCTTCCATTCTTCTATATGGTCATCTGACATATAAATTGGAAATATCTCCTATGAGGTTACTGAAATGGAAATCTTTAAGATTGTCAAAATGATAAATATTTGCTATAAATGTAACTTTGTTGTGTTATTGTTTCTTCCTGCAATAAGTATTACTTTCCATTGCTTCTGATGTGGTATGACATGGTATGTTCAAGAAAATTGAGAGCAGCAAGTTCAGAAAGCAGAGATGTACAGAGCCTGTGTACTAATTAGTAGTATCCACAGCCTTCCTTACTCTTAACTTCCTTACTCTTAACTTCCTTACTTTGTGGCAGTAACATTGTTGATCTTTAACCTTTGTTTGTTTTATTCCGATTCTCATTAGAATGACCAACAACATTTTGGGTTGTCTCGGACCAGATCCAGTCATTCTTGTAGGAATTTTATTTTCTAGATCCATTTCAATTGGGGTTATGCCCGGTTTTTGGGATGGAAACTGCTTTATTCACCCTGTATGATGAGCTCTGTTGAGAGAGAGTGGGGGGAGGATGTGTCCCTGTTAATTCTTCTCGACCTCTCAGCAGCTTTGGATACCATCAACCATGCTATCCTTCTGGAGTGGCTCTCTGAGTTAGGGGTAGGTGGCACTGCCTTGCGGTTGTTTCAGTCCTACTTGGATGGTTGTTCCTAAAGGGTGTTGCTTGGTTTTTCAGTCCTGTGGAGCCTTCATTGTGGGTGCCACTCCTCATCTAGCCAGTCTCTGACAGTGGGGTTCCACAGGGCGCTTGATTCTATCCTCTGTGCTGTTCAATATCGGCATGATACCACTGAGTGGGGTTATCCCAAGTTATGGAGTACATTGTCAGCACTATGATAATGACAAACAGCTATATTTCTTTACATTTGCAGGTGGGGCAGTGGGTGTGCTGGACAATTTCCTTGCCTCAATAATGGATGAGATGAGAGCCAACAAACTGAAACTCAATTCAGATAAGACTGAGGCACTGTTAGTGGGTGGTTGCCTACACCCGAAGGGTGGGAGGTTGCCTGCTCTTGATGAGGTTTGTTGTTGTTTAGTTGTTTAGTCGTGTCCGACTCTTCGTGACCCCATGGACCAGAGCACGCCAGGCACTTCTGTCTTCCACTGCTTCCCGCAGTTTAGTCAAACTCATGCTGGTAGCTTCGAGAACACTATCCAACCATCTCGTCCTCTGTCGTCCCCTTCTCCTTGTGCCCTCCATCTTTCCAAACACCAGGGTTTTTTCCAGGGAGTCTTCTCTTCTCATGAGGTGGCCAAAGTATTGGAGTCTCAGCTTCAGGATCTGTCCTTCCAGTGAGCACTCAGGGCTGATTTCCTTAAGAATGGATAGGTTTGATCTTCTTGCAGTCCACTTGATGAGGTTACTCCCTGTAAAGCAGTGGTGGCCAAACTTGGCCCTCCAGCTGTTTTGGGACTACAATTTCCATCATCCCTGGCCACAGGTCCTGTTAGCTAGGGATGATGGGAGTTGTAGTCCAAAAACAGCTGGAGGGCCAAGTTTGGCCACCACTGCTCTAAAGGAATGGGTATGCAACTTGGGGGTATTTTGGAATCTTTGCTGTCATTTGAGGCTCAGGAGTGCCTTCCATCAGCTTTGATTGGTAGCCCAGCTATGCCCCTATCTGGACAGAGACAGCCTAACTACTGTGGTCT